TAGAGCAATTAAGATTTGTTCTAGGAATGTTTTGGTTTAACATTCAGAAATTAAATTCACTGCATTGACTGAAATGAAAAGAAAACAAATGATTTCATAAAGTCAACACTCACTATAGAAACTCCTCAAAGATCAGATGATTGGGAAACTCCTCAAGCTGATAAAGAATATTACAAAAAACCTAATATCATACTTACTGGTCCAAGGCTGAATGCTTCTTCAGATCAGGAGCAAGGCAGAGGTGGCCACTCTTAATTTGTTTTCAGCATTGAAGTAAATAATTCCTAGCCCGGGCAGCAAAGCAAGAAAAAGAAGTAAGAGTATAAAGATTTGAAAGCAAGAAGTAACACCATCTTCGTTTCTAGACATATGATGCTAAGGAATCCATAAAATAGCTCCTAGAACTAGTAAGTCAGTTTGTCGAGGAGTTAAGATACCAAAAACAAAAATAAAAAAATTAGTTGTATATTTGTATACTAAAATGCCGCCACTTGTCAATTTCTCGTACTGTGGTGGCTTGTGTGTTGCTGTGATGCTGGAAGCTATGCCACCTGTATTTCAAATACCAGTAGGGCCATGGCAGACAGATTTCAGCTGAGCTTCCAGACTAAGACAAACTGGGAAGAAGGACCTGGTGATCTATTTCTTAAAAAATTGGCCAGTGAAAACCTTATGAATAGCAGCAGAACATTGTCTGATATAGTGCTGGAAAATGAGCCCCTCAAGTTGGAAGGCACTCAAAATACAACTAGGGAAGAGCTACCTCCTCAAAGTAGAGTCAACCTTAATGATGTGGATGGAGTCAAGCTTTCAGGACCTTCATTTGCTGATGTTGCACGACCCAAATGATAAGAAATAACTGCAAACATCCATTAATAATCGGAACGTGGAATGTACGAAGTATGAATCTAGGAAAATTGGAAGTTTGTAAAAAACTGAAGTGCTTGAAGATTGATATCCTAGGCATTAGTGAGCGGAAATGGACTGGTATTGACCATTTCAAATCAGACAATCATATGGTCTCCTATGCCATGAATGACGAAGAGGAATGACATGACGTCGCATTCGTCATCAAGAAGAACATTTCAAGATCCATCCTAAAGTACAACACTATCAGTGACAGGATAATATCTATATGCTCACAAGGAAGATCAGTTAATACATCTCTTAGTCAAATTTGTGCAGCAACCACTAATTCCAAAGATGAAGAAATTGAAGATTTTTACCCAGTTTTTCGGTCTGAAATTGATCAAACATGCAGTCAGGATGCATTGATAATTGCTGCTGACTGGATTGCTAAAGTTGGAAACAATGAAGAAGAATCAGTAGATGGAAAATATGGCCTTAGTGTTAGAAACAACACCAGAGATCACATGATAGAATTTTGCAAGACCAATGACCTATTCATTGGAAATACCTTTTTTCCACAACATAAATGGCGGAAAGGTGTTCATCGGGGTTATGTCCTTTCACTGTACTTATTAATTGTTTGCTGAGCATATAATCTGAGAAGTTGGATTATATAAAGAAGACTATGGCATCAGGATTGGAGGAAGACTCATTAACGACCTGTGATATACAGATGATACAACCTTGCTTGTTGAAAGTAAAGAGGACTTGAAGCACTTATTGATGAAGACTACAGCCTTCAGCATGGATTACACCTCAACATAAAACAAAAATCCTCACAACTGGAGCAATAAGCAATACCATGATAAATGGTGAAAATATTGAAGTTGTCAAAGATTTCATTTTACTTGGATCCACAATCAACACCCATGGAAGCACCAATCAAGAAATCAAAAGATGTATTGCATTGGGCACAGCTGCTGCAAAAGACCTCTGTAAGTGTTAAAAAGCAAAGATGTCACTTTAAGTACTAAAGTGTGCCTGACCCAAGCCATGGCATTTTCAGTCGCCTCATGGCATGTGAAAGCTGGACAATGAGTAAGGGAAACAGAAGAATTGACACCTTTGAATTATGATGTTGACGAATATTGAATATACCACGGGCTGCCAAAAGAACAAACAAATCTGTCTTGGGAGGAGTACAGCCAGAATGCTGCTTAGAAACAAGGATGGCGAGACTTTGTCTCGCGTAGTTTGAACACGTTATCAGGAGGGACCAGTCCTTGGAGAAGGACATCCTCCTTGGTAAACCAGAGGGTCGTCAAAAAAGAGGAACACCCTCAACAAGACAGATTGACACAGTGGCTGCTGCAGTGGCTTTAAATGTGTGGCAATGATTGTGAGGATGGCACAAGACCTGGCAGTGTTTTGTTCTGTTGTACGTAGTGTTGCTGTGAGTTGGAACTGACTCGATGGCACCTGACAACAATGATGTACTAGAAATATACATTTGGCAAATGAAATTTAAAAATTTCAGTTCCAGCAGATTAAAGAAACAAAACAGTTAGATATAAATTTAATAAAGTATGTGCACAACCTTACACTAAACACTATTGCTGAGTGAGTAAAGACCATCTCCGTAAAAGGAGAGATACAACCTGTTCATGGATTGGAGCACTCAGTGTTGTTAAGATGTCAGTTCTTTCCAAATTGATCTGTCATTTCATTGACATTACAGTCAGAATCCCAGCAGACATTTTGGTAGACATTGGTAAGCTGATTTTGAATTTTAAATGTATATGTAAAGAACCAGTAGAACTAGTTTAAAAAAATGTATGGGTGTAAAACTGCAGTCATCAGTGGAATGGAGAAGAGTCCAGAGACCAGAAATGCCCAGTCAGTAGATTTTTGACCAAGGTGCCGAGCTAATTCTATGCAGAATTATTCTTTCAACAAATGGTGCTGGAACGACTAGTTATCTATATCTTATTACACACCATACGCAAAAATTAACTTGAAACTGATTGTCGTACTAAATGTAAAAGCAAAGTCTGTAACACTTCTTGGAAGAATACAGAAGATAATCTTCATAACCTTGACATAGGTCTAGATGTGTTAGGACATACAGAAACCTATCACCATAAAAGGGAAAAAATGATAAATTGGTATTTATCAAAATTTAGAATATTTGCTCTTCAAAAGACTCCATTAACAAGATACAAAGGAGGACATGGAGAAAGTACCCTCAATACACATAGCTGACAAAGGACTTGTACCTGGATTATATTAATAACTTCTTACCTTAATAAAAGAAGACAGGAAACCCAGGTAAAAAGAAATAGGCAAAAGATTTTAATAGCTCACAAAAGGAGGTATATGAATGGCCAAGAAGCACATGAAAATACGCTGAACATGGTAGTTGTTGTTGCCGGTTGCCATCGAGTTGTCTCTGACTCATGGTGATTTCAGTATAGCAGGACAAAACGTTGCCCAGTCCGGCACCATCCTCGCAATCGTTGGTGTGTTGGAGCCCACTGTTGCAGCCGCCATATTGATCCATCTCTTGGAGGGTTTCCCTCATTTTGCTGACCCTTCACTTTACCAAACATGATTTCTTTTTCTAGTGATTGATCTTTGCTGATGATGTGTCCAAAGTAAGGGAGATGAAGTATTGCCATCCTCCCTTCTAAGGAGTATTCTGCTGTATTTCCTCCTAATGGTAATAATTAGGGAAATGCAAATTAAATCCACAGTTACAGCACTCTGCACCCTGTCCAAAAAATTCAAATCCAGTGCCATTGAGTCGATTCCAACTCATAGCGACCCCATAGTGTTTCCAAGATTGTAAATCTCTATGGAAGCATACTGCCATATATTTCTCCCATGGAGCTGCTGGTGGATTTGAACTGCTAGCCTTTCAATTAACAGTCAATCACTTTAACCACTGTGCCACCAGGGCTCTTAAGAGCTGAAATAAAAATGACTGTCAGTTTTAAGCGTTGGGGAAGATTGGAGCAACTTGAGCTCCCATACATTGCTGACACATCTGTCAACTGGTACAGCCACACTGGACAACCCATTGACAGTTTCTTATAAAATTAAGACATCAGTTATCATATGACCAGCAATTCCACCGCTAGGTTTTTATCCAGCAGAAATGAAGACATACCCACACAGACTAGTACACAAATACTGGAAGTTTCTTAATTCATAATAGCCCATACCTGGAAACAAACATACATCACCTGGGTAGAAATGTCCCAGGAATGGCAAACAAATTGTAATGGATCCCAACAATTGAACACTACTCAGCAGTGCAAAGGGAAGGAATGGGGATACCTGCAACAGCATGGGTGACTCTCCAAGCATGCAGAGTGATCCCAGACTGAAAAGAGCGCTAGTGTGTGACCCCATTCATGAAGTTATAGAAAAGGCGGGCTTGTTATAGGGACAGTGAGCAGATTGGGTTGTCTGAAGCTGGGGAGGGTTCCAACCGAGGGGTCTTTTGATGAAAATGCTCTCTGCATTGATGGTGCTGGGGGTCGTGTGGGCGTACTCGTTCAAATCCATTGAACTGTAGACTTAAAATGAGTGTATTTTATTGCACGTAAACTATGCCTTTATTAAGTTGATTTAAAAAATCAAAAGACAAGCTGCAGTATGGGAGACAGGATTCGTAATGAAAGGATTGCTACCCATAATTTTTAAAATATATTTTATGTGCAAATCAAAAACTTTACGTTCTCCAAGTAAGTTCTGTCTGTGTAAGTGTATAAAATGGCCCATGGTGACCCCTGCCCATCGGAGAGGACTGGGTGTGGGGACGTTTGGAGAGAGGATTTTTCCTTTTACTCATTTCTTTTTTATTGTTCTTTCCATACAAATCAATCTATCTACCTAGATATACGTATATTCACGCATTACTTATGTTTAACATACGCTTAGTTTACCGAAGGGAAGGGGCGAAGAAAGCAAAGCCGACTTTGAAATGGCTGCAGCCAGGGCTCACGTGGGCTGCCATTTGCATTCCTTGCCGTTGTAGAATGTCTCCTAAGTTGTGATGTTCATGAATACAGTGACTCCTAGTCTGTAATGTACAGTATTCACTTGCTCAGACATGAAGGCTTACCATCTGTTTTTCTTTCTCATAGATTTCCCCGAGTCTGACAAACTGACTTTATTTATTGCAAACATGTGGCACGATGTGTTTATCTCCCAATCAGTGATTAATAAAGCAATGCAGTTAGTTGCCAGGCAGCGCGCTAAAGGAGAGGTTCTGAACTGCTTGAGAGCTTTTCTCAATTGGGAGAAGGTGAGCTTTGTTTTTATTGCTTACAATACCATACTTTGAGAGCTGACATAAATGTTATTTGCTTTTGTAGTTTTTTGCATTAGTTCCTAGACATTTTAAAGATACTATTCTTTGCATTAGGTTTATTTAAATATCATTTTAGCCTAAGCTTGTGCGTTTTGCTTATTTAGTATGCACGAGACATTCCAAGAGTAACTGTTGACCTATGTGTTGTGTTGTTTTAACAAAGTTTGTTTATACACTAATTTATGGTTATTTGATGAATCCATACATAAGTATATATACATTTGTTTTTCCAGTAAAGGGCTCAGAGGAGATACAAATTATTTGCTCTTATAATAGGTTCTTTATAAAACCAAAACCAAACCTGTCGCCGTCAAATCGATTCCGACTCCTAACTACCCTACAGCACAGGGTAGAACTTCCCCATAGGGTTTCCAAGGAGCAGCTGGTGGATTCGAACTGCCGACCTTTTGGTTAGCAGCCGAACTCTTAGAGAGGCTGAAAAAATTGATACCTCAGCTCCTTCCTGTGAAGATTTTTTGAATCTAATAGTCTTGTCTTTTTCTTCCCCGTTGATGGAATTTATATTTCTTCTCTTTGTTCCCTTGTTACCTTTTATTATTTTGTTTTTTCTTTAATGATTTGTGTGCTAAACCAGAATCTAGCTGTGTTCTTTTATTCATAGATCTTATCTAATGAGAATTTCTGGATGCTGATATGTTAATTGTAAGAAGAGATGCTCCAGTCAGTAAAGGCTGGACTTACTGTGTTCTTTTATTTTAATGTATATTTATTACTTTCCTCTTTAAAAAAAAAAATTCTCCTGGCTTATTCATAGAGTGGAATTTTATATACCGTTTTGCTTTCCTTTTTAGTACTTTTCGGTATTATTCATTTGAATTTTATTTTGTATGAAAAAGCAGAGGGCTATTAGCAGAAGAAAGTTTGGTAAATGTTAAATGTTGAAGTTAGGTAAAATATTTAAAAAGCAAGACTCTTATAAGCTCTTCAGTGATTGTATCTAGTACATCATCACAAATTCCAACGTATATGCTCATCCATACATTTAGCCCTCAGAGGAGCCCCCTGGCTCCCACCAGTCCACATCTGCATCCATCTGTAGAGCCTGCCCCAGCCTGCTACCTCAGGTAGCATTCCATCCCTTGTGCACCAGACCCACCTCTTTTTGCCTGTTCAGGAGTAACCAGAGCAGGATGATATAATGGTAAAAGACATCTTATCTGAAGAAGATAAAAGTTTAACGTAGTTCCAGATACATCAGATAAAAATATAAATTCAAAACTATTAGAAAGATGAGAAAGATTTTGAGGAAGAAATACCATTATAGTAGAAGAGTCCCAAATGCTCTCTGATAGAAATAAACTGCTCTGGTACACAAAATAAATAAGGGCATAGAAGAATTCAATAATATACAAAATAAACTTGAGGGAAGAATGTACAGTGAAACCTGTGAGAGCCAGAACTCAATGGGACTGCCTTATTTTTCCGGGTCTCACAGGTTTTCTGCCTTTGACAGGGTGCAGTCTTACACTTTTCTGTCACTCTCTGTGTAAAATATTTGAGTTTTCCATCTCTGAAGGTTTCTGCCTTATACACATTCCATCTTTTGCAGGCTTTGCTGTATATATTTTCATACATCCATGGAACGTTTACAAAGTCAGTCATGAATTTCGCCCCATAAAAGCATTGATTTTTAGAAAGTAAAAGGTTTATGCACAAAACTGTGAAATTGGGTAAAATTAGAAATAAATAGTTCACAGATTCCATAAAAGTGTTTACTTGGAAACTGAGATACACATACAGTTCTGGAGTCCCTGGGTGAGAGAAATGGTTAGCATGCTCGGCTGCTAACCGGAGGGTTGGACGTTCGAGCCCACTAAGGCTGTAGAAGAAAGGCCTGGTGATCTAGTTCCCAAAAGTCAGCCATTGAAAACCCTATGGAGGACAGTTCTACTCTGACACACATGGGGTCACCATGAGTTGGAATCACCTCGATGGCAGCTGTTATTTTTCTGGACAGTCTTGGAACAAACAGTAACTCAAAAATCACAACATTTGACAAATTGATGAAAAGGAAAACCCTTCATATCAAAGATCTCTGATTTTTAGAGAAATTTATACTTAACAAAATAGTATAAATGCCTTAATTAATAAAGTAGATAATAAATGTGGTTGATACTCATCTTAAAAATTTAAAAATTGAGAAAGAATTTACGGAAAAAGGTAATAGTAATGAAATGGAGAATAGACAAACCATATGGAAGATAAAAACTTTTAAAACTAACAAAATAGATAATCAGTCACAGTTCAGATTAATGAAGAAGGAACAAAGCAAAAATACTCAAAATTTGTAATGGGACAGAAGACGTAGCTAGAAATACAGGAAGAAGAATTAGAAGAAAACTCTAGCAACAGATTTGGAAATCTAGGATGATTTCTATTGGCAAAATAAAAATTTATGAAAATTGGTTTTAAAAGTAGAACACTTGAATAGACCACTTGTTCCCAATTAGCATAAAAGAGGTTGAAAAACGAAGTAAAATTGACTGTACGAAATGGCTTATATTTATTGGCTCTGCCTGCGTTTTATCTAATCTCTAAAAAATGAAATCATTCCAAGTTATTTCAGGCATAAGGAAAGATTGAAAGTTCTTTTCATTTTCGATAACAAAATACAATATAGTACAACACAAGAAAGAAATTATAAGCTAGTTTTCAGTGAGGTATTTGGATGTAAAAATTGTAAGTAAAACAGTAGATTTCTGTCATGTAGCTAAAGAATACTTCATGGTGTTTCAGAATCCAGAAATCAGTGTAATCAATAAAGATGAAAGTTCATGACCTTTCTAAAATACAAAATAAAAGGAAAGTTATTAAACCTAATACTACTAGTTAACAAGAAATCAATAGTATGCATTGTCCTCAATGGCAAATGACTAGTTCTTTTCGGGTTAAAATCAGGAACTAGGGGTCTTACATTACATGACGTGAGGCATCTTATTAAGGTGCCTTGGTCAGTGGCTTTGCTCTCAGTTTTTTCCAGTGAGTTGTTAAAATCTGGAAGGATCTTTTATGTGTAGAAACGACATCTTGGTTTAAGTTGGTGCTCAGTTTTTAGAACTGTAAAATAAGATAACTATTTTAAAAGCCTTTAAAATTGTAAATCTTGTTCCATTTATAAATCAGATCAATTATGATGATAACAGTTTCATTAACTTGGTCATTAATTAATATTCTATTAACTCATACATTTTAACAGATTAAAATTCCCTAAATAATACCGGTTTACAAATTTCAACCATTTAATTCTTAAAGTACTTTATACATTTAAGATATATTTCTCTAGAACACTTCAGAATAGACTTTCATATCTTATAAGCAACTTTATTTCTAAGCACTTAAGCAACTTTTGAATGTAAGAAGTCAGATTTAGAATGTAGAATATCAACTGTTTAAATGTTCAAGCATTGTTTACAAACGTAATTACATTATCTTACATGTATCTAAAGAGCCCTGGTGGGGGTGCAGTGGTTAAGCACTCGGCTGGCTGCTAACTGAAAGGTCAGCAGTTTGAACCCACCAGCTGCTCCACGGGAGAAGGATGTGGCAGTTTGCTTCCGTAAGGATTGCGGCCTTGGAAACTATCGGCAGTTCTACTATGAGTCTCTATGAGTTGGAATCTACTCAACAGCAGTGGGTTGGTTTTTTTGGTTTTGGTTATACATATCTAATTAAAATCACAATTCTAATATCAAATACTTCAAAGTATAATCATAACTGAAACGTACCAGAGTCTCATAAGCTTTTAAACAGCGTATGGATTATCTGATGTTCAGTCACTGTAAAATGTGTTTGTTCTTTAATACAAAAGAATTCATAATAGGGGCTTGATTTACTTCATCATGTGTAAATTTATTTCTGCACCTTCTAGAGAACAAAGCATGTAGAAATAAAAACTGCTTTGAAAAAAGGTTGCGAAGTCACTGAACTTCCCTACCCATAAAAACCCCATTGCCACCGAGTCCATTCATAGCGGCCCTATGAGCACTTCCCTGGGGACATGTTTACCATTTGGGCTGAGCTCATGTTACCAGGTAGATTATTTTGTACCATAATTTTGTTATGGATTATCTGCTAGAGGATTTGAGACTCTCAACACTACTCTCAGGATATTTATACACAAACCATAGGCCAACCTGTTGAGCCCTTTAAATAGTATTGCAAATTTTCAAGCCCAAGCCTTTTCTTGTACTGAGTATGTACCCTATATCACCGTGTGTACAATTTTTATACTGAATCTTTCACATAGTGCTGGTAAGAACGCTAAATGATACAACCACTCTAGAAAATAGTTGGGCAGCTTTGTATAAAATTAAACACACTCTTAGTAAAGGATTCAGCCATTCCACCCTCATGTGTTCACCCACAAGAAGTGAAATGTGTGTCCACACTAAGACTTGTATGTGAATGTTCATAGCAGCTTTCTTCATAATAGCCAAAACTTGGGAATAACCCGGAAACCTTTCAAAGGGTAAATGGATGAACAGACTGCAGTGTATCCATACAGTGGAATACTACTCAGCAATAAAAGGAATAAACTACAGACATAGTCACAGCTTGGATAAAGGTCAGAAAACATGCACAGATGTGGAAGAGACCAGAAGTAAGGTCTAATACTTTCAGTCAACTTTATAAAATTCTGGAAAAGGCAATCAGAATTCTAGTGTCAGAATAATGACAGAATTTAAAGAAATTTTTAAAGGATTAATTATTTTTATTTTAACTTATTTTATGACCTCACTGGATTTGAGTTGATAAAAACTTGACGTCGTATGTGGATGGCTGCTGATCTCTTTTCTACCTGATTTTATTCTACATCCTGTCTGTAGCTTCTTTATGTGGCTTATCAACCACCATGCAGTAATCATTTATGACAAGAAGTATTATGACTAAGATTAACATAGTTCCTTATTCAAAATAGAACACTTTTAAAAAGGTATTTTTTTAAAATAAATGATTATTCATGTGATATATTAAGGAGCTCTTGCGCAGTGGTTAAAGCATTCGTTTGCTGACCATCTACCAGCCACTCTGTAGGAGAAAGATGTGGCAGTCTGCTTTTGTAAAGATCACAGCTTTGGAAACCCTGTGGGGCAATTCTCTGTCCTATAGGGTCACTGTGAGTCGAAATTGACTTGAAGGCAGTGGGTTTGATTTGGTTTTGGTGAGAGTACTGGCATAAAATGTGTTATATTTGAGACGCCATCATATTTTTTCTTTTTTCATTTATTAGAATGCTCCTGTAGATGTCGGCTTCATGGTTTCTAAGCTGCTTTTGACAATACAGTTATGTCCAAAAACAGAATTTCAGTCGAGTGAGAAGTTTGGTGAAGACCTGAGTGATAACACATGGGAATACATATTTGCCATTGATCTGCTCTGCTGCCATCAAAAGTGGATTTGGACACATGACAATATCATAAGGTACAGGACTGCTTTGCCAATTGAAAATCAAGATGAGCTGTTTGAATCGGATGGTGGTCCGTAGAACCATTGCCAAATTGTGGTTTTGAATCATTTTTGTTGTTTAAGTGTTAAGCCAACTGAAACATTTCCAAATGACAACACCTCAACTTGGGTAAGAAAACTATCCTTAAATTACCTGTATCGTCGCATTCTTTTGATTTTTTTTTTCTAGCACCTATCACACTGCGTTTCATTTCATTCTGATATTTACTAATTATCACTCTCCCAACTAGAGCTGAAGCCCGTGTGGGAAGGACTTTTCTTTGGTCACTGCCATATCCTCAGCATGCAGGACAGTGCCCACACGTGGGAGCTCCACTGGTACGTGCTGAGTGGAGCCCAGTGACCATCATCCTAACATTCTGATACTCAGCGAATACCCAAATGAGCAGTAATATTCAAAACTCCGGGTTTGCAGCCCTTCTCACCTGGGGTTTCTGGAGAGAACTCAGCATGATGCCCTTGGGCACCCATTGGATATATCTGTGGACCCTGTGCTTCCAGAATTCCAGCTGGGGTGTTGGGCCTTCCTAGGGAGAAGGGAGAGCTTAGTCATTCACATCATGTTTCTGTAGATCTTAATGTTCTGGTGGAACCCTGGCTGAGAGAGGCTGGTTAAAGGGAGGATATGACATGAATTGGAATGGTGTGGCATTCGTCTTCAAGAAGAACATTTCACGATCTATCCTGAAGTACAATGCTGTCAGTGATAGGACAGTATCTATACCCCTATAAGGAAGACTGGTTAATAGGACTACTGTTCAAATTTATCCACCAACCACTAATGCAAAAGATGAAATTGAAGAGTTTTACCATCTTCTGCAGTCTGAAATTGATCAAACGTGTAATCACGATGTATTGATAATTATTGATGATTGGAATGCCAAAGTTGGAAACAAAGACGAAGGAGCAGTAGTTGGGAAATATGGCCTTGGTGATAGAAATGATGCTGGAGATCACATGATAGAATTCTGCAAGACCAACGACTTCTTTGTTGCAAATACATTTTTCAGCAACAAAAATGGCAACTATATACATAGACCTCTCCAGGTGGAATACTCAGAAATCAAATCGACTACATCTGTGTAAAGAGACAATGGAGATGCTCAGTATCATCAGTCAGAACAAGGACAAGGGTCGACTGTGGAATATACCATCAATTGCTTATATGCACGTTCAAGGTGAAGCTGAAGAAAATTAAAACAAGTCCACGAGAGTCATAGTATTACCTTGAGTATATCCTACCTGAATTTTGAGACCATATCAAGAATTAAATTTGACACATTGAACACTAACGACCGAAGACCAGATGAATTGTGGGATGACATCAAGGACACAACATGTAAACAAAGTAAAAGGTCATTAAAAAAACGGAAAGAAGGAAAAGAACAAAATAGATATCATAAGAGACTCTGAAAGTTGCTCTTGAACGTCGAGTAGCTAAAGCAAATGGAAGAAATGAAGTAAAAGGGCTGAACAGAAGATTTCAAAAGGGCGGCTCAGGAAGACAAAGTATTACAATGAAATGTACAAAGATCTGGAGTTAGAAAACTAAAAAGGAAGAACATACTTGGCATTTGTCAAGCTAGAAGAAACTGTAGAAAAAATCGAAGCCTCGATTTTCAATATTGAAGAATTCTATGGGCAAAATATTCAGTGACACAGGAAGCATCGAAAGAAGATGGAAGGAATACACAGCGTCACTGTACCAAAAAGAATTGGTCAATGCTCAGCCATTTCAGGAGGTAGCATATGATCAAGAACGGATGGTATTGAAGGAAGACTTCAAAGCTGCACTGAAGGCATTGGCGAAAAACAGTGCTTCAGGAATTGATGGAATACCAATTGAGATGTTTCAACAGACGGATGCAGCACTAGAAGTCCTCACTCATCCATGCCAAGAAATTTGGAAGACAGCTACCTGGCTATCTGAGTGGAGGAGTTCCATATTTGTGCCTATGCCAAAGAAGGGTGATCCAGCAGAATGTGGAAATTATCGAACAATATCACACGCAAGTAAAATTTTGCTGAAGATCGTTCAAAAATGGTTGCAGCACAACATTAACATGGAGCTGCCAGCAATTCAAGCCAGATTCAGAAGAGGACTTGGAATGAGGGATGTCGCTGCAGTTGTCAGATGGATCTTGGCTGAAAGCAGAGATGGTTACCTGTGCTTTATTGACTATGCAAAGGTATTTGACTGTGGATCGTGATAAATTATGGTTAACATTGTGAAGAGTGGGAATTCCAGAACACTTAATTGTGCTCATGAGGAATCTGTACATAGACCAAGAGGCAGTCTTTCGAACAGAACAAGGGGATATTGCATGGTTTAAAATCAGGAAGGGTGTGTATCAGGGTCGTATCCTTTCACTATACTTAATCTGTGTGCTGAGCAAATAAAACAAGAAGCTGGACTATATGAAGAAGAACGCAGCATCAAGATTTGAGAAAGGCTCATTAACAGCCTGCAATATGCAGATGATACCGCCTTGCTTGCTGAAAACGAAGAGGACTTGAAGCACTTACTGATGAAGATCAGAGACTACAGCCTTTGGTATGGATTACACCTCAACATAAAACCAAAATTCTTACAACTGGACCAATAAGCAACATCATGATAAATGGAGAAAAGATTGATATTGTCAAGGATTTCATTTTACTTGGATCCACAGTCGATGCCCATGGAGGCAGCAGTCAAGAAATCAAAAGACACATTGCATTGGGTAAATCTGCTTCAGAAGACTTCATTAAAGTGTTAAAAAGCACAAGATGTCACTTTGAGGACTAAGGTGCACCTGACCCAAGCCATGGTATTTTCAGTCACCTCATATGCATGAGAAAGCTGGATAATGTATAAGGAAGACCAAAGGAGAATTGATGGTTTTGAGTTATGATGTTGTCAAAGAATATTGAATATACCATGGACTGCCAGAAGAATGAACAAATCTATATTAGAAATACAGCCAGAGTGCTCCTTAGAAGGGAGGATGGGAAGACTTTGTCTCATGTACTTTGGACATGTTATCAGGAGGGACCACTGCCTGGAAAAGGACATCATGCCTGGTAAAGTAGAGGGTCAGAGGAGAAGAGGAAGACCCTCAATGAGATGGATTGCCGTAGTGGCTGCAACAGTGGGCTCAAACATAGCAAGGATTGTGAGGATGGCACAGGACCCAGCAGTGTTTTGTTCTGTTACAGTAGGGTATCTATGAGTCGGAACCAACTCAGCATCCCCCAACAAGAACAACGTGACATGAAAAAGAATTTAGCGAAGAGTCAATAGTCAATATCCTTTAGATATTTTAGGCATGTGTTCTGTGGAAATAGTCAAACACTTTTCCCTGGATGTAAGAACAAGGGTGTTCTCTTGCTTTCTCCTCCCCCTTAGTAGTAGGGAAAGAGCAGACATCAATGTCCAACAGTAGGGAATTGATTGGATGATGGTGCTTCTGTTGAATGAGATGTATCTATATTGAAAGAAACAGCTATAAATAGATGTTTGTGTATTGATGTGAACTGCATCTCAGTTGTTCCTAAGTAAGACAAGTGAGAACAGTCTGTGTGCTGTGTGAGTGCTTACAGTGTGTCTCAGCCTCTTCCTCTTCCAGGGCCCTGGAGGCAGGGCACGGTTTTTTCCCAGTTATGGGTGACGACCCGGGCTCTTGCTGGACAGAGGTGCTTTGTCCTTGATCTCCTGGCTCGTGGTGAGGACAAGGCATTGACCGTTGGGATCTCTTCCTGCGCAACTCCAGACCCCTCCTTCCTAAGCACTGCCTTGCAGTCTTTCATCAGAAATACGTACATGAAGAGAGAAGTATCTAGAAAGAAAAGCCCGTGGTTACAAGAGTAATAGCTGTCTGAGACTGGGGGATTTGGACTGCTTTAATTTTCATTTTTCTTTTGTTTAATTTTTATAGTAATACATTAGATTACCATGTAAGAACTAATTACTTTTTGTTTGCTTTGTTTTTTAATTTTATAGCAAGGAGCTGTGGCCGGTAATGGACAAATGGATAAAGTACAGGAAAGGACACGTGAACGTCGGATATACCCCTGATATTATTATAGCGTCTGTACTGAGGCTCATTGGTGAGTTGTCTGTTTCCCTTGGTGCTTTTCTTTTTATTGATGATATGGTGATGAGGAAATACATATGTAATAATAATGTTGATTTTGAAACCTTTCCATAATGAGTGATTTTGTAGAATGATTGGAGTAGACACCTTTGCAGCCTAATTCATCCTCCTCCTTATAATCTTTCTTCATAAATTAGTGTTTCAGCCATCTTTGTCAGGGATTAAGAGTTTCCATATTAGTACATTTTGTTTATAATTGAACTTCTGCCTCTCACATGCTAATATTAATACACATAAATGCACACACTTATCCACACACATACAGTACAGAAATTGCTATAAACTACGATAGTCTAATCTTGTCTCTAAAATAAGGATAATCCACCTCTAGTTGGATTGAGGTAAAAGTAAAGTAAATTAACATTGCTTTAGTGAATGGTAGTGTATGATTATTAAATGGGGTTTATTCTCACCTACATGAATGCTAACATATTAAAGACTATTTTGTGAAATGCTTGAATTGCTTTAGATTCATAGAAATGGGGAGGAGTGATAGGGCCTAATCTAACCTGCTCATTTCATGAAGCTCTGGACATGGTAAGCTCTTGTTTGAGACCACTCAGTGGACAGCCATTTGCCTACCACTGGATCCAGTAGAGTACAGAGCTATGTGATACCAAGTTTCTGACCCAAAGTGCTTATGTCCTGGCTAGAATGATAAGGCTTCCTAGTATTTACTGGGATACCATCCAAACCCACTGCCGTCAAGTCGATTTCGACTCATAGCGACCCTACAGGACAGAGCAGAACTGTCCCATAGGGTTTCCAAGGCTGTAATCTTTATGGAAGCAGATTGCCACATCTTTCTCCTGCGGAGTGGCTGGTGGGTTCGAACCACCGAGCTTTAGGTTAGCAGTCGAGCACTTAACCACTGTGCCACCAGGACTCCTTTCCTGGGACACAGACCCTGAGAGAACACTGTCCTCACACATCAGATTTCTGTAGGCAGATGGAAGTAGCCATTCCTCATAGGTTTCATCTTTTCTATGGAATTGTCTCAACTCACTCTTTTCCTGGGCGTGGCTGAACCTAAAACCTTGGAATAAAACCCTGGTCTTGCTACCTGCAGGCCTGCCCACCTTCCCCTCTGGGCGCAGCTCTTCTGCTGATGCTGCTCTGTGCATTGAGTGGGAGTGGTCTCTGACCTGGAGATGAGTGTCCTGACCCGGCTTGCCATCCTGGACTGACTAAACTCCCTCGGCAGAGAGGCTTTTCTTCCATCTGTTTTGTAACTTGTCCGTCATCTTTTGTCAGTTAGTTGTATATGGGAGTGTTTTTCCCCATGCCATCTAACTGAGACTCATGATTTCCTCTTATCTTACCCCAGATAGCTCCATTGATTTAAATAGCGTATCAGCACTTTTAATTGAAAGAAAGGGAGCCATTGTAACATGCTCTTTTATTATCTGGAAGCACTTGGCTCCTCGCAGGGCTGAAGGATCCTGTAACGGCTGTTAGCCGTGCACCTAATGCACTTGGTCTGCGTCCCAGAGGATAGACCCGGTGTCATGCTGTTAGCAGTTTGAGCTAATTATAGGGAGATACTTAAGAGTGGTCAGTACCTGGAAGTCCCCATCTCTGGTGTAAATACTACTTTCATCCTCATTGAAGGCTGCCTAGGAACTTTACAGAGGCTTACAGTTTCATCTTGCAATACGAGTTACCCAGCTTTTCATTGATATACAAGAATGTACTGAATATCTGCTACGTATCCCAACATTCAGGGTATGTGTAACTAGCACTGAGCTACTTCTCATAGGAAGTGCAAAGTAACAAAATTTCCTCAGCTTCCCCACTTTCAAATAGATCTGATGCTCCTGTACTGGATTCACATCTGCCTGTGGGGTGTTTATAATGTGGACACGGACAGTGACCATGAATATAGCACTGTTGTAAAATCACAGGAAAGGAACTTGCCTAAAAGCACATCCAGAACTGTCCTGGAATCTTCCTCCTGGGTAAAAGAAAGGATGGAAGAGGGTGTGGGCCTGGCCATGGTGAAGAGGAGAGAGGAATCCACTTGGATCTAGCGGACATCCACGGCAGAGGCTCTGGCGTGGAGGAGGGCCTGGAGCCAGCTTGACACCCACAGCAGGGTGCTGGAATGGTGGAGGGCCTGGAGCCAACTGACATCCACAGCAGGGCCGCTGAAGTGGAGGAGGGCCTGGAGGTAGCTCCCATCCACAGTAGAGGCTCTGGAGTGGAGGAGGGCCTGGAGCCAGCTCCCATCCACAGCGGGGGCGCTGGAGTGGTGGAGGGCCTGGAGCCAACTGACATCCACAGCAGGGGC